ATCACCCTCAGAAAAAGTCACAGAAAAGGAAGATTCAAGATGACAACCTTGATGACGACATGGACATTGAACCCCAGTTAAAATATAAAGGTATGATCATTATAGTAGTACGAAATCCCTGTGGTCATAAATAGGTTATAGATCAGGAAGATCTCCAGGTTCTTGAGATAGTTTAAGAGTAAAGAGTCCAACCTATTTATCAGCCATTAAAGTTCTTCTTTTATTTTTGCTATTTTGAAAAGTTTTATTTTATAGAATAAACAATGCAGAAAAGCTGTGGTTTCATGTTTAAATATACGTAAAAGAACATTGTTCTTGATTATTCATCTTCTATAAATTAGGTTGCATTTGTTTTCTTTTTGTTTATAGTTATTTATAAAACAGTTAATGGTCATTAACTTTCTTTGTGATGATGATTTGAAAACATCTTTGGAATCATTCAATTCAATCAACTTACATATATCGGCCAATACATCAATATCTGAATTTTTTTACACCCTGATATCAGCGTCAGCTCCCAAAAGTCCATGTCGCCCAATTGATTTCTGGCTCAGCAACATTGTTTTTTTTCTCTACTCAGCCGGAGGTTCAGGTATTCACAGACCTCTTGGAGACAGACAAGACATTGGAGCTGATTACAAGTCAAAGGTTAGTCTGACAGCACACACACACACACACACACACACACACACACACACACACACACAGACACACAATGCTGAAGTCTGAGCTTCTGTTCTTTCCTCTTTCATCTCACAGAAAGGAAAAGGAGATGTGAAGAAACAAGGAAAACTTGATCCCTATGCTTACATCCCTCTGAAGAAAGCTCAGCTCAATCGCAGGTACAAGCAACGTGTCTCTGTAGATCTCCATAATGGATTTTATTTAAAAATGTTGGGCACTTACACCTTTTTTTTTTTGTCCACAGGAAGCGAGCCAAAATACAGGGCCAGTTCAAGGGCATGGTGAAAGGAGCCCAAAAGGGGGCGCTGTCTGGAAAGAAAATGCAGAAGAAAAAGAGAAAAGCCTGAGGGGCACATCTTATATAAATCCAATGGACTCTAAATGCGGTGTGTGTGTGTTTGCGTGTTCATACACTCTTACTGAAATTTGAACATACACCTCGGATGTGTGTGTGTCTGTGTGAAACCAGTTTGTTTTTAAACTGTTGACGTCCTGAAGTGAGTGAGTAAACAAACAAATATTGTGTTGAATGTTCTGTCCCTGACTCGATTGATACTGGCTGATCAAATGGAAAATCATTTGGTTGTCATATTAACCCCTCAGACAAATTAACAAATTAAATACTGTTTGGGAAGAGTAACGTTTCCCTATGTTGTTGCGTTATTTGATCACTTGGGGGTGCTGTAGACTTCTGAATTATTAACAGTGAACAGCAGCAATCAGTGACGCTGTTTTAATTTGATTTACTTACATAATTAAAACAGTTTTTAAGCTGAAAAGTAATGAAAAATTCCCCTTCCTCATATCAGCAACCCACATTTTCCTCCAGCTATATAAGCTCCATATGTTGTGGGGGTGCAGGCTGATGTAAAAGCCTTGTGTGATTCATATCCTGAGAGAGATTGCAGCAAAATGAGTCATGAAGTGACAAACTGACCATGATCCTTTGTGTCTGAGCCTCACTGTGTCTGTCAGCGTTTCTCAGGACAGGAGCAGATGATGTAGCTGCTGATTCAGGACATTTTCAGACCTGACATCATCAGTACTGCAATAATATACTATGTGTATTTATGTACTTCAACAAACAACCTTAACCCCCTTTAGCTTCTTCACACTTTTGCACTTGGGATTTTAATTTGAGTGTATAAAATTTACTTATGTTTACTGCACACAGCCCATAATGAAAGAAATGTGTTTTGAATCTGTTCCAAAGCCACTGAGTGCACTGGCGGTTTAAATGGAAACGAGCGTCGAAAAGATTTACATCAGAGCGACGTGTTCCAGAAATATGACTTTGAACGAACCATTGATGATCTTAGAATCCGGTCATTGACTTTGTAGACTGGCTATATAAATGCCAGGGATGGATTATTAGAGTCCTGACAGCAACGGAACTGTAATTAGTTTAATTAAAGAACATTTCCAAATGTTCCTGCAGTATATTCAGTGAACTAATAAACATGTCATTAGTTCGTGCAGAGCCAGGCCCCATCTCCTTAGAGCTACGTCAGCTCAAATGTTTGTAAGCTGATTCATTATGACGGTGCACAAAAAAGTCATCTTGAAAATTTGAAACATCACACTTTATATCAAGAGGAAAGAAAATCACTGCCAGGTCACTTGTAGAAAAAAACATGTTTATTGAAGAAAAGTTAGTATAGAAATAATGCCAATGATCATTTCAGTCACAAAGGATTCAGGATGATCCTGAAGATACTTATTTTCAATGCAAAACCACAGACACAAAGCTTCCCTCCACCAACATACCCCCCCCCCTCAAGGACCCAGAAATCCACCTGATACTAACTAGAAAGCAGATGCAGACAGGGCCTGTGTTAAAATAAATAAAATATGGTGAAACTGCCCTGCAGTTGCAATAAGATCCCCTAACTTAATTTTTAAAACAAGGATGTAGAAAGAAAATTGGTTAAAAAAGGTAAAACGACGCATCCATGTGATTCATAGCAACCTAATATAGTGTACATTTAAAAACCAAGGCAACACCACCATCACTACATGCTGTTATTTCTCACTACACGCTCGCCCAACATTACGATTCTCTGCAAACCCACAGGAAACAGGTGAATTCATCTTCACCATTCATTCGTACTCAACTTTCAACAACACATAAATCCTTTCTGCCGAATCTCCAGAAACATTTGCACTTACTCGCACCACTTATGTCAACATGAACTCTACTAAGTACAAGGAACTACATGCATTTTTCTATGTTTCATGGTAAAGAATGTTATCTTGATGTAACTCAGTAGCTGATTTTGTTATCAGATAAATATTTTGCTGTCCAGCAACAAAGCACAGAGCTGCATGGCTCCAGGCTTTTCAGATTTTCTCAGTCTTTGGGGTGAAAGGAGGACATGTTTTTTTTGTGTTTTTGTTTTTTTAACTGAATGAGTTGATGTATCAGTGGTTTATTGGAGGCCCCATTCTTCATCACGAGAGCCTGGGTGGGGGTCGAGATGGCGGGGGTCCTGGAGGCCCCGGGGGTGCGCGAGTTGGGGGTGGACCCGGAGGGCACTGGACCACGGAAGGGGCTGCGCGGGAGGGCGGCGTGGTGCGGGGCCCTCTGGACGGTGGTTTTGTGCGGGGGACAGAATTGGAGACCAGAGGTCGCTCTTCGGCGGGTGCAGTAGGATGAGGAGGGGGCGGAGGCGAGGGAGACTGATGTGCACGAGGAGGAGGAGGAGCCCGGTTGTTCGACTCCTCATCTTTGACCCGTTGGAAGCGAATACAGCGGCCCTGTGAGACACACAAGGAGAAGAGCACAGCCACACATCATCATTTCAATGAAGATTAAAACGCTGTGTCCGTCTTTGTTCTGAAATCAATGAGCGTCTAAGATCCACCAGGATGGTTTCGTGTGAGTCTGTGCCCAGATCTGCCGACAGAGGCGCGTGTGTCTGGGGCCTCGGACGATGCACAGAGCTGCTTCTGTCCACACCTGCACCACAATAGCTGTGATGTGAGCAAAAGCACACACACACACGCTGAAGCCTTCCCCATGTCCCCTCCTCTCTCTGAGGCTTCTTGATGCAGAACAGAAAGTGGTTCATGTCTCTAATGTGCTCGACTTGTTGGAATGTAAAAGGGGCTGATTTCAACATCGCCACAATAGTTAACAGAGGCCCCTCTGCATTTAACATAATTTACAAGTCGGGAAAGAATGGAACGCTTCTCTTATTGTTCTCATTGAGGGTTTAACTCTCCTCACCCTCTCTGTTCCCTGTGTAGCATCCCTCTGCGCGCACACACACACACACACTCTCTCTCTCGCTTGGTCAGTGTGTGAAGGATGGAGCAGTAGATCTCTGTGTCACTGATCCTTGGTGGTCTGATTATAACACCTTATTAAACAGAGAGGCCCTAAAGTCACACAGGGGCCATTAAGAGGGCCCCTGCAGCAGTAGCTTTGTGACTTAAGAAGGGGGGGCATTGTGGGTTTGCATATGAGGGGCGCGTAATTGATTTGGGGAGGAAGCCTGGTTTAGGGTGGGGGGGGGTAGTGACTGCTTAGGTCAGAGTGAAAAGGCCAGTTTGAGAGCAGCAGAGCAACAGAGCAACACCAGAGCGAGCATATGGACACAATGAGAACACAAGCTCATGAATATGTGTGTGTTTGTGTGTGTGTGTGACTGCAAGCAAGCCTCCACCAGAACATATGGCCTGAATGAAGCTTCGGCCTCATGAATAACAGAAACAGTGGAAGGAGGAAGGTTAGAGAGGAGGGGGCTGCAAGAGACCACCAAAAATACAAGGCCGGAGCTGAAGAAGAGTCGGAGAAGAACGACGAAAAGAGATATTTCCACTTTAAAGTCGACAATATGTACATAAATGATTTGTGTGAGAGGTCAGCAATGTGTTGCTTGTGACGATCAGAGACCCCCCCCCCCATGTGCCCCTTCGGCTGTGACGTCTGCTAGTGTTTCACTTCCCCTCCTGGCGACTGTTTACTTCAAACTCTCAACTCCTTTTTGGGAGAAAAACAAAACCCCAAAACACCTCCAGCATCCCTCTTCACACCACTTCTCTGTCTGTTCCTCCGTCTGAGCCCCGAGACTTTGCCCTTCCCTACACAAAACACACACACACACACACACACACACACACACACACACACACACACACACACTCACAGAAAGCAGTTTGTGCCAGTCTCCATGTGTGCACATGTTTGTCACCATTTATAGTAAAGAAAAGGAGAGAAAGACAAGAGCGGAGACGCACATCTGACCTGACAGCTCCGCCTGTCACCTCGCATGACATTACAGAGATCCACTCACAAAAAGAAAAAGTGCTCCATGTGTACTTACACAGTTTCCACACAACATATGCTTCTGCTCAGGATACTTAGACAGTGTCAGAGTGTTCCTCTGTTCATTTGTTAGCATGATTCTAGGAAAAACGCATTATATTTTGTAGTGGCTTTTTCCCCCCACTTTCTTTAACATGATGAGATAGGGCATTGGCCTTGGTGAAGGTATGTGCTCTCTCGGGGTGCACATGCTTTAGGTTTTATTATTGCAGGTTTTGAAACATTAGTTTTTGCAATTTCTTCCTTATTACCAGTGCAATAGAGGTAAACAGAGTGAAATACATTTTAGAAAAACTTTTTCCAGAATCAGAGTCTGGGCTGTTCTGGTTCCAAATGTGTTTATATAATATTTTTCTTTATGAAAATTGTCCCAATATCTTGCTTCATACAGGCACCACAACAAACATCTACCACTCAAAGAGGCAGAATCTGAAGCAAGAATCTATTTCAACTTTTGAACTCGTTGCTAAATTGTTAATTTGGTGTTTATTTTCCTCCTAAACATAAAAATTAAAATCATTTTTAAGTTAGCTTAGCCATGTAGCCACTGTCTTCCCTGCAGCACCTGGCAACTACTGTATACTGTTGCTAACAGTATTTCAAGTGCTCCTTTTTCAGTTGTGTGATATGCTCGAGTGATTTAAGTGGATCAAGTTCACATAGTTTAGTCAGTATTGTGTTTGTGGAAGAAATTCTGCATGGCTGGATATGATAAGTCAGAAAATACTGTGTTCACTGTGGTGAACTGATCCTTTTCATGAACTGATTGGTGTTTTGGTGAAGGGGAGGCGCCGCTGTGCTCATTTGTGCCGTCTGTGTGTGTGAGGACGGAGGGACGGTGGCCGCCCTCTGGTCTGGTGTGTGCTGTGTGACGGGGCCATCAGTGCCATCAGCTCTGGGGACAAAAGAAGGGAATCTCTTCTGTCACAATATGGCTCGTGGCCTTTCAACTCCCCATCTGTTTGTGTGACACTAACTCGGGAGAGCTGACACACACGTTACAGTGACACACACATACACACACACACACATAAACAGAGCAGAGAGAGATGGAAATGCAAAGTGTGGCAGAAACTGGCAGCCCGCTGATGACCGTTTGCAGAGGCAGTGAAGTGGGAGTAATGTGGGGAGAAAGCAGGACGAGCTCCTCCTGAGCTGCTGGTTAGTAATCCACACGGAGAAGTCTGAGCCACACGGTGTATCGCTGTGCTTTTTGCCATCTTGTTGTGATGCGATGTGTGCTGATTGTCGTCCAGCTGCAGCGTCATGCTTTAGAGAATCTAGATTTGTGGCTGTCAGCGATGACAAACCTTTGTCGTCTCTCATGTCCGATATGGCTATTTTCTATTATCGCTTACAAAAACAGTGGATTTCTTTTGGCCTTCATTTTCTTCAATGTGAGACACAGCCATCTATTTTCCTCAGTTAATGGTGCGTAAAGCGAGTTGTGGGGGTCATTGTTGAGTGTGAACCACTGACAAAGACTCTAGAAACTTCTGCTCTGACAGGGAAGAATTGTTCAGCTTCAGGAAAAATAAAACACCCTAAGATGGAAAGACAGGATAAACCCAGTGACGATGACCATTTTTATAGACTGCAGATACAGTAGACCCTCACATACACTCATACTGATTATGAATCACGTCACTCAAGCAACAAATCAATATATTTTACAGCGATATGGCCTCGGCTATGAAAAGCGACAATGAAACCATTTACAACGGACCAGATGTTTCACCATGACAACCAGTGCGATGATGAAAACATCTCGTGGGGTTTGTGGGATGCCGTGCACAGGGTCAAGGTCAGATAAGGGGGCTGCTCTCTGCTGTCTTCTATTCTGTCACGCAGACTTGGAGGGACTGCAGTGATATCATGATTTAGGACTTTTCAGAAGCGGGAGCCAGTGATACGACCGGTTAAAGAATTTTCGAAGGAAACCTATAGAACGTAAAAACCTTCTGGACATTTACCATAATCATCACTTGAAAGTAGACAGTGACATGTGTGACATGCTCTTCATGTAGAAAGTAGATAGAAACCCAGTTATTTTCTAGGAGTCACAGGAAGAAGTACAGAAGATACAGTCCTCCCTGTGTGTGGACAATGGCAGCTTTGATGAGCAGAGTGGTATCAATAGCTCAATGAGTCACTGTGTGTGTGTGTGTGTGTGTGTGTG